GAAAGAGTTTTATGTTCAAATAAACTTTATCTTTAAAACCAGCTACATTTATCTTCCTTATGTAATGTACAAATAAAGCAGTATAAATAAGAAAATGTAAAATATTAGCTTTTATATTATGTTTCTCTGCTATATGTTGTCTTTCTCAACATATTCACATCTTTTATAGTGTAGCTTAATACAATTTACTGCCTAATTTATTTAGTCCAATTTACTTTAATTAATTAATACTGGCACACATTAGGTGAGAATCCAATCCAAATTTATACTCAGAAATGTGCATTGAGCAAATTTATACTAGTAATATTCATACATTATTATAAGACGATGTTTTAAATATATCAAATGGATGTCACGACTTTGTGCATACAACAGATGCCAAATTCCTATGATTAACCCTTTCAGATATACTTCAAAGTAATTGCACTCTAAGATCCTAAGAAATTACTAATACTGTAACCTTAGCCCAACTTAAAAACTGTATTCAGCGTATAAACACCAGACTCTTACATCTAGCCATTTGTCCACTGTACAGTTCATATCTGTTTTTACCGCAGTGGAGTCACAGTTATGCACTCTTTTCAGTTCTGCTAACAAATGTTTTCCTTTATTGGTGAAAGTATCCAGGTCTTTTTGTTTATCACTCAGATCATTCTTGGCAGCTTCATGCTGTGGACATAAATATTTGCTTGTTTAATGAAGCCTTGAAGAAAGAAATAAAAATGCAGTTCTCCAGGCACCCATCCCTAGCCCTGTCGTATGTTATGCGTTTGATAATTCTCATTCAGCATACCATCTAATATTTAACTATGCCACAAAATACAGAGCAACTGACATGGTTTTCTCATGAGCATAATCAAATAGTATGATTGTTCTTATAAATAAAGCACACAACTGGGAATAATAAATTCCTAATTTTCCCCACTTGGTAATAAGCTATCTTCAGGACTTAAGGCAAATATTTTTTTTATTCTTTTTTTTGTTCTTCAGACTCTACATGTCTAAAATTGAATAATAAGAACCCATCACTGACTAAGTAGTATCTAAAATCAGTTCTGGAATTACAGCAGGGTAAACAGAGGGTGTTGCAAACAAAATTTAGAATTGTAAAACCCATCACTCCTAGATACTCCGGAAAACAAAAGTACAAATGTGTTCAGAAAGGAATTAGACAAAATCTTCAGGGTTACTAAGTTTGCAATTCTAAGGGTAGGGAAATCTTTAAAACACTGTCACTGAAGAGGTGACAACATACTGAGAAAGGATCACAGTAAGTATCTATCTCATACGTTTTTCTTTAATATTACAGATCAGCATTAGAGATAAGCTACTAATCTGGATGCAGTATGGCCATCCCTACTTTATTATGGTAGGAGTTGTGCAAAATATTTATTGTGCTCCAACTCCTTCAGGCCTAGATGTGGCCACTGTTGTAGCAGCGAATTCTCCACAGCCCAAGGCTCACATTAAGGAGAGGAATCATACGGAAGTTAGATGCATTTCTTTGTTAGACTGGCGAGCTCTGTTCTGGCTTTCAGTTCTAGTTAAAATGTCTATTAAAAAGAGGCCATAAATACGCACAGTTTAGAATGAGGTTTATACTGAAGAATTTTTAATTAAGAGCTCAATAGGCTTCCAAATGAAATTACCCTCCGAATGAATGCAAAGAATTTAACTCAGAACTGTTTTTCCTAACAGGCTGATGGATAGCAGAATTTAGAATTTTAGAAATATGATCCAGTGAAATGAATGGAATGCAGGTATCCAAATTCCTTATCTCTGCTCAATGGCCAGTATCAACATTGTACCCCATGGAATAACTCATCTTAGGGACTTTTATCCATTCAAAAAATCACCCAATGTGGAAAAATATTAAAGTATGTTGACTGGAAATATTCTCTCATACTATGATAGGAATATATTCTATTTTATATAAAGAGCAGATAACTCATGCTTTCCACATAAATTAACATTTTACATTTATAGGTGTTAAAATTATAAATAGCAACAATCATTTGATTGCACAGTAATGGATCTCACCAAAATGCTGAAAGGACTATATTCTTTCCTCATCAGAATCAGTACAATTTAAACCCTGAAAGTCAGTGTGACAAAATTTGACAGTAAATTCAAGGAACTTTAAACATGGCTCGAGGGCACCTTTCAAACAGAAAAATCCATTTAAATCAAAGATCATTTAAATCCTCAAATGAAAATATATGTAATTACTTTTGATAAAGTTCGCCTGACATCTTCATGATTCTTCCAAATGGATTTGATGACAGAAGCACTGTCAGCACTGTCTATGACTTTCATTACTGTTGACTTCAAGCTCTGATATTCCTTCATCAGATCGATAAGAATGCAGGACTGCTCCTTTCTGTAATGTGAAAAGGCTGTGTTAGCACCTCTTGCTGTCATGTTTCTGAAGGAAAGAGAATGTGATGTAGCAATTCACCATGGGAAAATCAGGATGCAGTGCTAAACATGGTTTGGGCAGCCGAGGAAATATTAATATTTAGGTTTTACAAATCACTGTGGGTCCATACATCACAAAACATCTCACTGAAGAGACAGTATATGAATCACCATCTCAAGTATATCAGATATCGAAGCAACTGACATGAGCAAAAGACAGACTGAAACTGGAATTCAAGCTTCTCACTTCCTAAGTTTAGCATCTTACTGACTGGAAACCACACTATAATGATGCTGGCACTCGCAGCTCATTTTTTTTTATTTGTTTCTTTAATGCAGAGTATTTTTTGAGTAAAAAGAAGCAGAAGTAAAGACTAAAGCAATGCAAGGTGAGTCTGCCTATTTTGTCCTCCAATTGTCAGATGCATGCTTTTGTGTCTAAAGCATTACATTTCACTTACTTGTCATTCTACTGAGAACAGAATAACCTGCTGCTAAGAACAGGCCTAATATTTTTTTTTCCACCCCCCCTCCAGAAAAGCCTATTTCTGCTCAGGCAATGGACAGAACAAAAATACCTATTCGATCCACTCCTGTTGTTTATACTGAAGAGAGAGAAGGAAGACTAATAATTTGGGTATTTTTAGTTGTAGAACAGTGTTTGCAATGAAAGGAATTTGGGAAACATGATATTGCCAAGAAAGAGAGGTAAGCATTTTAGGAGCTGGCTCTTCTCTGAATGGTCCAAAGAGTTCTCCAAAATAATCAGGTTCAGGAGGGTCTAAAAATGTGGCTATATGAGAGAGAAAACGGTTCAAAATAATTAAAATTAAATTAATAATTTAAACAAAAATTAACATTTTTATGTTAGAAAGGAATCATGAGGTACCTGAGTATCTTTCAGTTTTAGGTATAAAGATGGCAACAACTACCCCAGTATGTGAAAACTGGACAGCTCATTTACCCTCAATAATGCATCTATGAGGCAGGGACAGCTATTTTATGTTTTCTTCACTACCAGGCTGGTACTGTCTAGCTTCTGGCACATGTATGCGGAAATTACTTGGTTTACTATTATTAAGGACTTCTAGAGGCAAGAAACATGGGTTGCAGCAACATGCAACATGAAATACAAATTAGCAGCAGTGCTGAAGAAAAACGAGCGATGGCCATTTTTAAACAAAACTATCCTTTTCTTCCATTTAGTTCAGATTTATACATCTCTTAAAAATGCATTAGAAAACTAGACTGAATTCAGCTGGAAAAAAACACCAGAAATGCAATTCATGTAGCTGTGCATATTTGCAAGAGGGAAATAATACACAGATCTGGTTAAGGGGCAGCATATTTACAAATATCTGTATGGTGTCAATCAAGAATATAGAATAACAGTACAGTATATAAACCAAAGGAAAAAAAAATCATTTTTCAGCACAAATGAACTTTTTTTTTTGAATCTTCATTCAGTACACCAACCCAGCAGTTACATGGGGATCACCAAATTGCATATGCCCATTGAAGTATTAGCCAGGCTTAGAACTGTTTTGCTTCTGCACTTAAACAAAATTTATGTACATTGAGGATGATATAGTACTGAATGAATCTAGCACTTAATTTTACCATGCAAATTTAAAAAAGAACATTTGAAAAAGTTTCGGTTAAAGATGTTGAAGAGGTAGCTGAGACAAAGAAAAGGGTAAAATGAAACTTTCTTTAGTTTCATTAGTTCCTTTCTTTATCAACTTTCATTGACATACAAAACTGTCTTATAGCACTGATTATACACTAATGATTGTTATGAGCCTGGTCCTTTGGGCAGACAGAAAGACTTAAATCTAAGAATGATTTGGGACCACTGAATATAGGGTTGTCAGAAACACATATCCAACTGAGAAGGAAAATACATGCTAGAAGGAGAGTATGTGCTAGTTGGAGTGACAGTGAAACCTCAGTGGAGACTTCTTATCTTTCAGGAGAGTAAACAATAACATGCAACTAAAGGCCCATTATATCTATAGGTACTGTCCCCAGGACCTATCTGTGGCTTTATTAAAAGTATAATTACAACTGGTACAAATATCCTGGTTTATACTGTGTTCTATCTTCTAGTCAGTATTTAACACACAAGCCCTGTTTTTTATTGGGATTAATATGGCAAGAAGATATTAAATGTGAATAACTGGGTCTCTTTCCCCTGCTAAAAGAACCCTCTCCTTTCTCACCTTAAGTCTAAGATCTACTTACTTTTCATGTATAACTTTCTTGGTATCCTCCCACAGAGATTCTAAGCGATTTATCTCTTTGTCAATCTCAGGAGCAAGTGTAATATCTTTTTGGGCGATTTGTTTTGCTTTGTCCATAAGCCACTGGAGTTCATGCTGGTGAGAATTCACTTCTTCATCTAACTGGTTAAAGATCCTCAATCTGCAAGTTAAAAGGCAGGTTTCAAATTTACTTATCTTCACTTTTTTGCAAGAGAAAAGAAGAGAAAGGAAGAATGAAACAGCTGCTGTTAGAGTTACTGTGCCTGAAATTCTCTTTTACTAACATTTCCTACAATATCTTCAGAAAAGAAAGTGTTATCTGGATTTTTTTCTGCTGCAACTGGGCTCAGAATGTGATTTTTCTGATACACATACAGCTATACAATTATGTAGATAGACATATACCTTCATCTCACACAGTGACTTGGAAATATAGTCAAATATTTAGTTTAATACTTTATTATAGTAAGTGTTTTTGATTCCTTCAGCACATGTACAATCTTCAATTCTATAAGAGTAGAGATAGTTATGTAATATGGGATTTCTAAAACCTGTTCGGAGCTTGGATTCATTCGGACAAAATAAATTTCTGAGACAAAGATTTTCTTCACTGTTCTTTCAATAGAAAAGATTAGCGAGACTTGCTAAGCATTCTGCTCATGTTCTCCCTCCATGCAAACAGCTCACTTACTTACTTACAAAATTTTATTAAGTAGATGTAGGGACTCACATATGGCTGGCAAGAAATAAGGTACCCAGGAAGAAAACTCATAGAATCATAGAATCGTTCAGGTTGGAAAAGACCCTTAAGATCATCAAGTACAACCATTAACCTAGCACTGCCAAGTCCACCACTAAACCATGTCCCTAAGCACCACATCTACACACCTTTTCAATACCTCCAGGGATGGGGACTCAACCACTTCCCTGGGCAGCCTGTTTCAATGCTTGACAACCCTTTCAGTGAAGAAATTTTTCCTAGTATCCAGCCTAAACCTCCCCTGGCGCAACTTGAGGCCATTTCCTCTTGTCCTATGCCACTCCTCATAAGACTTGTGCTCTAGAGCCTTCACCAGCTTTGTTGCCCTTCTTTGGACACGCTCCAGCACCTCAATGTTCTTGTAGTGAGGGGACCAAAACTGAACACAGTACTCGAGGTGCAGCCTCACCAGTGCCGAGTACAGGGGGACAATCACTCCCCTAGTCCTGCTGGCCACACTATTTCTGATACAAGCCAGGATGCTGTTGGCATTCTTAGCCACCTGGGCACACTGCTGGCTCATATTCAGCTGGCTGTTCACCACCACTCTCAGGTCCTTTTCAACCAGGCAGCTTTGCAGCCACTCAAGCCTGTAGCGTTGCATGGGGTTGTTGTGACCCAAGTGCAGGACCCAGTACTTAGCCTTGTTAACTCACACAGGCCCCCAGTGCATCACAAAAAATCTAGAGACTGCAAGCAAATGAAGAAGTACCAATCTATCTCAAGCATTAATATTGTTTTTACCTTTGCTGGAGGGCTTGTAGTGTTGCCTCGTTCAGGCCCTCCTTGTCAGCCTTTTCTTCAGTATCTTCAATACTCTTCAGTAGCTGTTCCTTACGTTCCATAAAAGATCTTCGCAAGGCTCCAAGAGCTTCTGCCTCACTCTGTTTGGTTCCCAGCAGGTTTTGAACTGCCTCCAGTTCCAAGCACAGATTATCCACCACAGCCCTGCAGGAGATCCTCTGCTCAGAAATGCTGTGTTTTAGATGATACTGGGCCTTAGTAAGGGAACCATCCAAACTGATGGCAACAGATTCCAGCTTGTTAAGATCTTGAATAACATCATTGAATTCCTTCTCCAGTAATTCAGATTTAGCTTTATCCATATTTCCTGTTTTCTCCACTGTCTGCCTCAGCTGGTGGAGCACTCCTGATGCAGCACTATGGAGCTCCAGGAATACTCGCAGCTGATCCAGAGCCTTTTGTCTTTGACAAGTTATTTGTCTTGCCTCCTGGAAGATCTGAAAGCAATCTTCAGTCTTTCCCTGCAATGTCTGCTGGTCCTCTGGGCAGCTGAAAGAACACAATTTATCTACATGTTCCTTCAGACTTTGTAACTGCTGTTTCTTACTTTCAACTTCCATTGAGTGGTTCTATGGGAAAGAAAGAAAATAAAGCTGGGTTTCTTCTTCCAATCAAAAGCTCAGAAAACATTTTAGTACTAAACTTAGGAGCAAAACAAGTACTACTGAAGGGTTTTCGGTAAGAACAGTTCAGTATTACAATTTTGCTTTAAATTGGTCAAATAACAGAAATCTGTATGCGACTGCAACAGTGTATCGGTTTTCAAATAAATGACCTCATGCTAGTTTTAGATGAATATTTAGCTGAATGCACTGTACAAGTTCTGTGTCTTTAATATTTACATCCAAAAGTTTACCTTATTGAGAGATGCAGCTAGTTGTTGATCAGCTGTGTTTATCTCTGAAGTGGCTTGTAGTTCAGCAAGAAACTGCTTAATCCAGTCTGAAAACCTGAGCAGGAGCTCATCAAACTGCCCATGCTCAGCAACAAGAGACTGAAGGAAGTTGATCCTATAGGATGTCAGATGTAAATATGAAAGCACTTGATGTAAATTAATCACTTCCTATAATCAAAACCACAGCTGACTGGACAGCATTAAAATCAATGCCAGGTGGACAGAAAGAAGGAAACGTTAATTTATGTTACAAATGGGATGCCTGCCATGTTGATTTCTTAAATGGGGAATAACATAACACTTGAACGCACCACTTTGGCTCTTTCCTGTTTCCACTGTTTTATTCATACTAACTGTTAGAAGTGCCCCAAACAATGAAGGTATGTTCTTCAACTTTTCTTTATGGGGGTAGTCCCAGAAAAGAGAATGACATTGATGGAAGCTAAACTTCAATTTTCAGACATGGCAACTCTGTTTGCCCTATCATCTGCAACACTGCATATAAGGTGAGAGTCTCATGAATTCAGGCAGGGGTGAGTAGCTGCATGCTCAACTTCCACTGAAGTAAGTGAGGGTCAAGTCCACTCAGAGGAACACAGTTCAAAGGCGGAATGTGTCCAGAGGAGTAGTCAGCACCTAGCAGAACTAAGCTTCTAAACACTGGCCTTAAAAAGGGCCTTGTCATTTACCTTCCCATTTCCCTTAGAAATTTCTCTACATAATTTTCAACATGAAATGCTGTGTAGAAGATCATTATATTGTAAAACAATCATATTGATAAAGCACCTAGAAGATGATGTCATTGACCAGGGTCTATTATTTAAGCTCCTTTACAAATAGTAAAATACGTATGTTCGTCACCAGAACAACTGAAATCTAAATATATGATAACATACAGTTTCAAAAAGGAGGCAGTGTTCCTGAGCCTAACATGAGCCAGCAGCCTAACAATTGAGTGTTTATAGTATTTATGGCAAATGAAAACTTCAGAGTGGGTTTAAAATGATAATAGTGTGGCTTTGCACAAGATAAAGCATAGAACTGAAAAAATGAAGATCCAATATTATAGATTTTGGAAGTAAGTTAGGAAGTTGATTGGGAAACTGTGACTGAGGAAACACAACATTATCTTCATTTCCTGCCCCACAGTCCTTCAAACAGAACTCTTCTATCAAAAAAATAGGGAGAGATTATGCCAAAAAGACAGCATAATAAATCTGTGGGATTCCCCACACCCCATTCCTGGGAGCTCAGGGTTCAATATGAATCTTAAACCTTTGTTTTCCTAATGGTAATACTGTAAAAAACTATGTTTCAGGATTGGGATTCCTCATCTGAATATTGGTTACTCTCATTTAACATGTAAAAAACATTCTGAAGCACAAACCTTTTATGAACAGTTTGTGGTAAAGCTTTCCACCTGTCATCCAGCTCTTCAAATTTTTCTTTTATTGTTTTCACACACTGTTTGGAAGCTGTTGGGAAGAGTGACTCATTTAACTGTAATAGGCTCGCATAGACTGAAGCATGGGACTCAATATCTGCTTGCAAATCCTGGGAAAACAATGGACCGTACAGCCTTTAGATTAAATATGGCATCATATTATGCAAAATAACAAAAACAATAAAAAGTCAGCTAGGAATTTCCTAACATTTTGTGTGCAGCAATAGAATTGTGATGAGATGTTGCAAATTGGCCCAAACAGAAAACCAAAACCCAAAATAATATTCCTTCTCTTCAGTAATATTTAGAAGTGAAATTATGGACTCGTTGGCTTTATGGAGGGTGTAAAAGATGCTACATTTGGCCAACTGCTTCATATTAATCTAAAAACAAATGGCAAAAATTCCAAGGGAGGGCATACTTTAGAATAGGCTGATAGTCTTGTGTTTAAAAAAAATTCGGAAATCAAACTTTCATTGTGAATTCAAAACCTTGGAGTATTTTGTCATCTGAGCAACTTTCCTCACATGCAAAAAAAGGAAAGTAGAATTGTCTATCAAAGGAATTTATCTAGAGAAAGGATCCTCTGGCAAGCAGACCAATGTCCCTCCTTGACAGATAATAGGATATACTGCGGCTTTATTTTTCTTGAGCCGGCATGTTATATTTGCAAATAACATTCTTCCTGTCATTTTCTTGTCTTTGATAAATAACAACAGCGATAATGTAATACTTCCCTAGGACATTTCCAAAACTCAGAATCAAGTGACATGTCAGACTACAGTTGAGCAAGTCCATCCTTTAAAAGACATAGAAACAAACCAGGAAACGTAGGGGGACAGTCTTTCAGTTGAAACGTACCTGCAGTGACTGCAGTTCACCTTCCAGTTTAACTCTGTCAGCAGAAACATACTTCTCTGAAGGTCTGGCTGTAGCTTCACACCCCTCCAACCAGGTCAGGAAGGCAGACAGCTCCTTCTCTTGCCTAACAAAATCATAACTTAAGAGTTACCAACTCAAGTTGTCCCCTCGGTCTCACACACTGACCACAGGAAGGTCTCTGTGTCCATCATAACAGACATGAGAGTCTACTCACTTCTGCCACTGAGCCAGAAGAGTCTCTAATAAGGTCTGTTTCTCTTTAGCATTTTCTAGCACCTTTTCATATTTCTGCTGTAATGCTATAACCTCCTGAGCAGCTTTTTCTTTGTTGGCCACCTTTCGGGCACAGGTTGAGAGAGAGGCCAGAGTGTTGCTCAGTTTTTCCACAGCATGACAAAGGTCCTAAGGAACATGTAAAAGAAACAGAAGTCACATACATAAACAACAGAGCTACGGTAACGATGGTGGGAAAAAATTCTGTACTTCTACTCGAAGTTTGAAGCAATGCTTCAAGAGTTGCTCTAATTTATACATATACAGTAAATACAGAAGCTCACTCCAACATGTGGGGACTGCCAGACTTGCAGCTCATGTCACGACATGGGAGAGGTAGGGAACAGTTACTGTGAACTTCTGTCAGCATTAGCTAAAGGTCTTTTTCAGAGAAATGACACCTGATGTTGACTAGCCTTTCCAGTGTTGCCATTTCTAGAAAGCTGGGAAACTTGTTCATATGAAAATGATTGTAATGTAGTACAAGGAGTTAGAAAAGCACAAAATTAAATAGGTTTAAGACCACTAAAGTTCCAACTCACAGGTGTGCAATAATAACAACAGTAGTAATGGTTATAATTACAGTCATGAAAGAAATCATATATAGGAGGAAATGTCAATTATACAGCAACAAGCTACTGATGTTTAAACTAAATAATAAAAAATAATTTCACGTTAAGGCATTGAATCATCATGATCTCATAGGTAGGACAAGAGTTTACAATAACATACTCAGCATATTTGTAATGTTTAAAAGTCAATAACAATAATGATTACATGTGCTGTCTGAATAGATTCTCCATATGCAAAATATTTTTCCTCAAGTATCAAGTTTTGTTGAAGCAGACAGACCAGGTCTTCCTTGCATACAGCCTTTGCAAGTAGTTGCCACTAAGTTCAGAAGAAATTATATGTATTTTACTTCAAGAACAATATGACTAAAAGTTTTTGCAGTATTTTCTTAGAAAGCAAGATAATAATTATTGTGGTAAGAACACTCATAGACACAGACAAAAACGCTACACCAAATTCCCTGAGATTTGGGATTTTCTGTAGTTTGAATACCAATCCAATGTTTATTTTCCTTTTGTAATGGACTGAACCAAATGTCCAAACACCCATGGATTTCTGGCATCATAGATAAAAGTTTGTCAGTTGAAACTTTGTCCAGTCTCTGCATTGTCCAAGAAGAACTACTCCCAAGGAGATTTTTTTTTTTTTTTAAATCACATTTCTCTATACCAAGACCCATGTTTCTTATCTTCTATTTTTCATAGTGTTTTAGATGCATAAAACTAAAAACAAGAACCTGAAGGACTAATTCATACTTTTAGGCTTTCCTTTCCCTAGAGTGTGGAAAAAACTCTCCAAGCCTGTCTGAAATGGTGAGAAGAAATAGCTGAGGAAGCCTGCTTAAGCTTTCCCTGGGGCTGCCCACCCTGACAGGCAGTTCTAGCCTCCTCCTGCCTCCGTCCTGGACTGTGTGGTATCAGGCAGCCCCTGGTCTGGAGGTTATTGGCATTTCTGCGAGGAGGTCAGTGTGGCACCATTTCCCTGGACTCGGTGGCAGGAATCGCTGGCCACATGCTCACCGTGCAATCCTGAAGGGCTGCATATGTTGCTGCTGCTGAAGAGCATGATGTGAGAGGGTCAGCTAGCTTAGCTTCAAATTCAGACACTGCCCGCTGCACCTATGAAGAAAAGGCAAACCAGAGAGTCTAAAAAACAGCAGAAAGTACATAAATGATGCTATAAATAACATCTTTTTAAAATTTAGTGCTAAGAAAACATTATATCCTAAGCTTTTGTAGTGCTGAGTGCCTTTTGAAGTTAAAATATGCTAACTCTGCTCAGCTCCTTGTGACTGGGGCAATAATAATATTTAAATTATTTTCTTTATGACCTACTAACAACTCAAGATTGAAGTTAAAGAAGTGTTTGTAAGAAGTATGGATGTAGTTTATTAGTGCAATATCCAGCAGAATCACTTAGGTTTTCTAAAAGACATCATAATTTTTTGAATGTGTATATTTTAGTGTCTTCCTGAACCTGCCTTTTAAGTCATTTGAAGCACAAATTTACGTATAGTGGTCAATTACCTTACAAATCTAGTCATATGTTCTAGTCCATCCTATTATAATATGCATTTTATATTAAATTTTGGAAAAATAAAGAGTAATTTATGAATTGCTGCAAACAATCCATTAGATTTTGCATTGTCTACCTGTTTAAGACTTTCTTCGTATTTCTGCTGTGCTGATGCATTCCCTGTGATTGTTCCTTCCAGTCTCTGTGCATGATTTCTTAGCTCTTCCCAATACCTTTTGACCTGAGTCAGTTTGGCTTTAATATGTGCACATTCTCCAGAGGTAACAAACTGGGAAAAAGACTCGGCTTCCTCTTCTAGTTTTGAGATTCCGGTTATTTTACCATCTATTTCTTTATTAATAACCTAAAATGTAAAGTAGTAGTAAATAAAGAAGCACAACACGTTTTTAATTATCAGAATAATATTTTCTATTTCCTTCTTTTACCTGAGCTACTAATATTCTTCATTAAAACAGAGAGGAGAGTTCATTGACCACTTGAAATAATTAGTTATAAAAGTCTTTAATATGCCCTGTAAACTCCCTTTCTGTTCTTGAAATCAGTACTGGAAAAGGTTTAAAAAACAGTCTGCCCTAAAAACAATGTCTATGAAGAAGAATTAGAATTGCCTGAGGTGCATATTTTCATAAGCAGACAAGAGGGTTCATCTTTTAGCATCTCTTAATTCACAGCAAATTAATACACAATTCTCTTAAAGATTCAAAATAAATGCAAGATGAAAAAAAGTAAGTGTATAACTGAAAACAATATTGGTAAGGAGCTGAACCCTAACAGCTGATTACTTGTGTTTAGTACGTTTTCAAGCACGCACTTACAAAATAAAACATTCTATGATTTGAAAACCAACAGAGATTGTTTCCATTTTCTAATTTAAAATTCTATGGTATAATAAAGAATAAATTAAATTGATGATGAGGTAGGGTGAGTGTGCCCTCAAACAGAGGATTAAATAAAGAGCCACATTACAGTAAAAATAGGAAACCATGAAACAAGAGTGATAAAGGCCTTTGGTACTTTTCAGCTGTCTTCTACGTCAATTAGGAAATGCATAAAGACAAACCAGCACTGGCTTTACATTTCATCAGCTGCATGACAGCAACTGTATATTTTTTTGCACTTGTTTTTATTGCAAATTAGAGGTAAACCTGAAAGCTACAAGATCTGAGACAGAAACTTCTGGCATTTCAGATTCAGTGGCTATTTATCCAGGAAGCTTCCGTGAACTTGGAAATAAGATTTTTTTTTTCACAACAGAATTCTTTTATTTTCTGCTGATGTAGCATGTCCATGGAGCTCTTCTCAAAAGCAGTGAAAAACACTTATTGGGAGAGAACTGAAAGAGCCAAGAGCGCTCTTTGAAATTGAAATAGGCAATAGCATTCTCAGATATAAAAATGTTAAGATATGTATGTATATGACATTAACCAAAAACTTTCCTGAAAATGCACTCTCAAAAGCATAGAAAGTGCCCACGTTCTGCTATAATTGTGATAAAAATATGGTATCTTGATTGCCATTATAAAGCTCAAGAGTGGCTTACTGCAACATTCAGAGTTTACAATTAGCAGGGTGACAGCACAGAAAAAAATGTGGTGCTGTAAGCATTTATAGTGCCTCTTTATGCAATATATTCTGAATTAATTCGAATTATAAAATATCTTTTTTGCATGAGAATACGGTGCCGAGGAAAAATACCAGATCTGTGGCCTTGAAGCTGAAATTATCTAACAATGCAGCAGATACAAGTGAGGCAGCGCTTTTTTACTCCCACGCTATTCTGTTAAATTCACTCAGTTACATAAAAGAAGGTGGATAATTGAGGCCTTCAAACTCACTGAGTCTGCCACCAACGGTAACTACTTGTGATAACTGTCATTTTGTCCACCAGGAATTGCAGAGAAACGCGTAGGTGAAAATCTGGCTCTGCTGAAGTCATTGGGGTTTTGCAATCAATGTCACCAAAAGTAGAATATTACCACTACATATGATAATTACATTCAGCTGAGCCCAGGTTTTTTATCTGGTCAGCCAAAGATATCAGGGAACACACCATTTATTTTTGGCGTATTTGCCTCATATTGCAACATTCCTTACTAATACTTTGTACCAGAAATTACAAACTAAGTATGCTGATTAGTGTTGTGACGCAGACTAACTCATCAGGAAATTCACAACAAAACATAACAAACACTTCAAAATCAGGCACAAAGCAATGCTGCTGAAGACCTCCAGCTATGCCCACGTATTGTAGGTTAGATGACTCATTTCACATATCACAGTTCATAAAGCTGGTTTGTTCATCTGAGCTACAATGATGTACCCTAGGCGTTTTCTGGAGTATTTTCTCTGCTTTATGTCTGTTCACTCAGATACTTATAAAAATTACCTGCTGACCATTTTCTTTCTGTCATGATGTTTAAAAGAAAAAGGCTTATGTTGGCATTTTCAAAAGCCTGCAATGCAGTGTAAAAATTACTGTTTATCTGCATATATAGCAAGGAACAGCCTTTCTGGGAAATGCGCTTGAATGGACTAGTAGGACTTAACTAGGCTCCATTTAGACAGACAAGAGCTGCTGTCACACTGTAATGCAATATTAATAGCATTTGATGCACAGACTTTTTGTCTTAAACATCTGAATCCTATCTAGTAATACTGAAAAGTATGTCTACATGACAGTGTGTGCCAGTGGAATAAATGCATATATATTATTACACAAGGAAACTGTTCTTGAATCGCTCTGGCGATGAAGCAAGAATTCAAGCATTGTTTTATTCTTCAATGATGAAATGAAGAGATTTTATTTATTTGGTGTATGTAAAGTTGTGATCAAATTAAGAACAGGAAAATCTGTTGATAAACTGTTTCTGTCACATGAAACAAATGCCTTATGGGATCCTTTGGAAATACTTAAGAGTCAATCTGGTCCATGACTGCAAGCAGCTGCACATGTGCGCAGTCTCTGAACAGCACGTAGGTCACAGAATAAAGAAAACAGCAGTGTGCACTGCATATTGAAAAACTCTGTCCCCTTAGAAACATGCAGTTTCAGAGAAGGTACGTTTTCATTTGTGAGAGGATATGAAGTCAGCCCTTGAAATGCAATGCTTGGAGACAATATGCACCTCAGTTTGCAATAAGAAACTAAACCACTCTGTATCCACAGGAATGTACACAGAATTTAAGACAGTGTAAATACAATAGCAATAAATGGTATGCAGGTTTGCAAGCTACCAAGAGCAATAGTTTCTTTATTATTTCAGCATAAAAGATACATAAATCAAGTTATAACTTTAGCTTGCAAGATTAAAATCAAGTTCTATATCCACTAGCCGATGTGTGTTTTAAAATAAAAAAAGCTTTATACACCTTGTATTTATGTAGCTATTTTGTACACCAGTAGAGATTACTCAAAAAATAAGAAGAGTATAAATTAAATGATAGTTTTAACCATACACACAAAGGCTCCATATATGTAAACTAAACACTAACAGAGAACACAGCCTATAAGAATTTTCCTTTAGCTTATGTAAAACCTTACTGCTTGGTATATTCGTGTACAAAACATACCATCATTACATCATGGTAGTTCTGAAACGTGTAAAATGTCTGTTCTTCCATTTGGCCTCTAGCAAAATGACAGATAAATGGACTTTTAATGCTAAACGTAACAAGAACTAATCACCTTGATTTGGCTGATCTGTAAGTCCAATGGAGATGATGATGTTTCCAAAGTTTCCAGTTCTTTTTCTTGTTCAGCTATCCAGATGGACAGAGCTTCAAAATTATTGCCAAAATGATCCCACTTGTTTTTCACCATTTCCATGCTTTTAATACTAAAATTAACCAAATTAATTAGAGAGAATAAACAGTTTAATATAATGAAGCTGCCCATATTCCTGCTAGAATAAAAATGTAACTTATTCAAACTACAGGAGGGTCATTTTAAAAACTCCTGGGTTTAGAGGACCAAGTTGTGCGCCTAAATTCAAACTTGGTTCTCTCTTAGACTGCACCCAAAGTCAAACAATTATATTCGCCATAGTGGGGGCACTGAGAAGTGAAACAGAGTACAGCTTCACTCATCAGCTGTACATCAAGAATCTCATGATAGCAGGCAGAGAAAGGAAAAGTAAGATAAATATGATTTCTATGAAATAATATGGAACTAGGATTATATCATATATCTAAAAATTGAGATAACTGAGTGCATAGATGTCAGTCATTTAGTCACTAGAAAAGAATGATTAAAACCAGTGTATTGTGGATGTACATATATTCACCAATGCTTGACAATTTTATTAAACTTGTTTTTTATAACAGCAATCTGCCCATCTTATAGGAAGTTTGTGTTTTCTGAGGGAATGATTTCATATCAAGCCAAAGAATCAACAACAGATATGACTCAACTACCTCAAAGTTAATAGATTTATATTCTTTGAAACATACATTATAGGTATGTTAAACACAGACAGATTATGACTGATTCTTGTATATACTGGATAGCAAGCAAAGCACCCTTTTTTGTCACAAGGAAGAAGTCTAAGGCCCATATAAGGTCTAACGGCATGAACTTCCAGTATACAAGTTTTTGCTCCTTTCAAGTCATTGTAAAGAAACCACTGCCAATGTAGGCCCTACACACAGCTTGCAAAACATGCATTTTCTATTTCACTGAAAATATCAAAATTTCATCAGAAAAGTTTGAATATTACAAAATTCCAAAATACATTTTCCTTTTAAATATAGCCTTAAAAACCATTCCATGTTAAAAAGTTTTTGTTGTATTTTCTTCCCCTCCCCCCCTCATTAAAGGTAGAGGAAGCTTTAAGAAAAGATGTAGTCTAAAAATGTAAAAATTGGCCTTTTTTTTCTTATTTATTTTCAAAATAAAAAAAATAGCAATGTCAACAGCCACTTACTGATAAGAACGTATTCAAGTTATGTGCAGGAAAATAAAGTGCAAAAATATTTCACTCAAGTCCAGCCCAAGAAAATACAGCTGGAAATCAGAATCATGGGACCAAATCAGTGGCACAACAACTGAAAATCCTTTGCCTTTGTATCTGCCTTCCTTATAGTTGTAAGAAAGGTGCAGACTGTAAAGAATATAGTCCCAAACACACTGCACAGCTACGCATGATCTCGTTGGAAAACAGATGTGCTAAGCTTGCTCTGTAGCTGACTATGGAGAGCTGCTCAAACTTTTCTTTCCCTTTCCTGTTCATAGTATGTACCATATGTATTTGGAATACCTTCACTTTAAATTACTCGGCCAAGATTTTTATTGATGATGTGAGTTACAACATAACTCTTACACACTGATTATATGTTCTGTAGATTCACTACAGAGAGTTGTATATATTTGCATGTTTTGCAGAAGGGATTTATTTTTTTATTATCTGTCACAGTACCACAGACATTCTATACAATCCATACATTCAACTAAAACCTATTTCATACCTACATTGAAAGGGGATATCAATGATGGCTTTCATTTAAAAATAGATGACATTATTAAAAAAGTGAATATTTATTGTTGGAAGGATGAATTTCTTGAATTGAAAAATCACACTAGTTTTCTCCCTAATACTGGAGAAAAGTATAAAGTGAAGTATTCAGTAAGATATGGTAGAATTTGACTGCAAATCACTGTAATACTTCATATTGGAGAAAGTGTTATGTAAAAAAATTAGACCACCAATAATCAGGAAGTTACATCTGCTGAAGAGGCTAGTTATTCTGTTTGACAACTGTTCTTTTACATCGGGAAGAAAATGGCACCAAATTAAAGTCAGATTAGCAATGGTCAATAGGGGAAAAAACCCAATAATGTGGGCATTGCCCTTTGTTCATATTCAGATGGAGGTGATGGTACCTGCTTAAACTTATACAGCAAATTATTCTACATAGTAATTCCAGTAAAACAAGATAGAATTGGTACATATATTCATGACGTGTGTATCAGATCTAATATATGAAAAACTACTAATTTCATACACACATATAAATGTACGTGTCTATAGATTAAAGGAGAATAGCAACAGCTGAAGTTGAGTAACTTGAGTTCAATAACTGAGTTACTCACTTGAGAAAAGGGATGAAATTTTTACAAATACAAAAAGCTATAAATATTTACAGGATTTAACAACATTTTCTTGGAGTTTGAACTTTCAATTTTTAAGCAAAATTTGGCAAATGATGCTTTTGTTATATGCAGAAGCAGCTTTTGATACTGCCCATGAAATAAAATCTGGGCATTCAGCTAAGATGAAGGCACTTCTTGACATTCCTATGGAGAAAGTGGAATACTGAAAACCGAGGCAAATATGGTGTATGTGTTGTTCTCATACTTGCACTGAGATTTTTCTTTCTAAAAGAGTTTAGTACTTCAAGAATTAGTTTAATTATTCCTTCTTCACAAGACTGGGGCTTAAAGATAAGTGACAGGTTAAATGTAACTAACAGTGGTTTTATAAACTACATATTAAACAAAGATTTTGTTTATTTGCACACAGTCTTTTGACATATTTGGTACTATAACCTGGTTACTATGCCACGGCAAGCTGTAAATGACGGAGCTGATGAGACAACACAAAATGCTGACAAGATATTCTAGAAATCTGATACAATCTTATAGTGGAGAATAAATATTAGGACTTGTTAAGAACATACTCTTCTTCAAGAGTAACTTCCACTTTTTTCACTTGTTCTTGGATTGATTTTGCCTGCTGTTGAAGGGACTGCTTGTTCTTTGAACCAAGCTGTATCTCAGAAGAATTCTTCACCAAATTCTCAGCCTGCACTGCCATTGCTTCAGTCTGTTTCGAAAGTTCCTGTAAGGATGCAAGACATTAATACAACTATAAACAGTTTCATATATTTACACAAAAAGTATTTTTCCTCAATGTTTGTGGTTAGAAAAAGTATCTGTGTCCTATACATATATTTTGAATGTGTAAATACATAAAAACAATCTCTGAAGAAAGTTATTTTCATGTTGCATTTAAGAAATGTTCATTTGATCGAACTAGCTTGAAAAAAATTTAGCAAGGGAGACTATATGTCCAAAAGTTTTTAACTCAAGCAATCAAAATATATTCTATAGCTCTTCAAGAAATTTATTTCTGAATTGTCGAAGATTATATGCATCTTTATTTAATCTTTAGATCCTATCCTTTACAGAGAAGATTTTGCAGTACCCTGTAGCTTGTAATCTCACTTTGTTTAACAACTATTTTCTGTCACAAGTGGTAAACTCATACACCAGAACAATGGATGCTGAGCATAACCAAGATATGTATAATTTAGTATCAGATTCATCAAAGGGTAAAAACAGCATGAAAAGCATGGCACTTAGGAAAGCCAATCACTACTATTACTTCTGTATTAGTAAATAAAATGAGCTGGGATAATTCTGTGTTACTAAGGGCAAGTAGCATGTTATGGCTTATGTCCATATTGTAGAACTCTCTCCTTTTTCTCCTCAAGGCTAAAAAGAGTGCCAGCTGGCACAGTCCACATAACCTTACCGAAGAGCACACTATTGGTGTTGATACGCCAGTGCTCGACACAGTTTAGGTTACTAGTATAGATGATTACTGAGCATAAAATGGGAAGTCCTCAAAGTCATTTTACCTTCCACACGTGCACTTCAGGTGCAGATTTTGAGTAATTCTTCACGATCTTTTCATAAAATATCTTTTTACCTCTCAACAGTTTATGCAGTCTCCAAAGATTGAAGGGAATACGCTCACTACATGTTAACAAGCAAGGCAGGAAGATATCCCAGTTCTTTTATTTCATACAGTGAATACCTTTGTCTGATCCAGTTCTGCAGAGAGGCTCTCTAAACTGCTAAAGTTTAAGATACGTTCAAGTGCAGAGCTTGCTTGATTGAGATATTTTACTACTGTTTCTTTGTCCCTTTCAAACTGCTCCCATTTATTTATTGTGACCTACAAAAACAAACAAACAAACAAACCCAAAACAGGAACAAAAAGACAAAAAGATCAAAGGGGAGAAAAAAAGAATTTCATTGTAAGTTACTGAGGAAGGAAAAAGAGAAAGACCTGATATAAAATAAAACAATTTCTCCTGAAACACCATCTGCTCTATAGATGAAACTGTTCTGAACGCAATAAAAGAAGTTTTCCCTTGAATTTTCACTGATTCATACCTCACTGTGCAAAAAAGCACTGTTCTCCAAGGTGCCAGCAATATTTAAATCTTATATTTGAATGTCCTATAAGAAGTCTGAAGTTATAAATGCAGATGCTTATATTTATGGTGACAGGTGACATCTAATGAAATAAATTACAGTAAAATGGCAGAAGAAAATCTCTACTCATAGGAAACTCACACATAGGAATCAATTTGTTCTTTTCTGATAACACAAAATTTTGATTAACATAAAGCATTTAATTACCAGTCACAAGAATTATGACCGTATAAACAAATATTTTCTTGATTCTGAAGTAAGGCCCAAGTTAAGAATTTATATATGGAATTCTTTAGAAAAAAAATGGTTTCAATAATAAATTTTCACATTAAGAAGTTATTTGAGCTCTATAGATCATTTTTCATCTTGTGTTTTATCATGGGAAATATGACTTTAAACATTTGCGTGAAATAGCAGACAGCTGGATTACCATTCTACTTAGAGAAATGTAAAGGACACCTCCAGGCGCAAGAAGCTATAAATTCTAATCCCAGTTCAGTCAGTGATTAGTTATACAACCTGAAGCAAACCATTTGATTTCTCTGTGACTTTCTTCTTCCTTCTTTAAATTTAGGATGACAGCATGTATTTCACACAGTAGTTGTAAGGATTATATTTGGATAACATCAGGTGTTATTAATCTAATATCCAGCTTTCAATTAAAGGGCAATGTCATCTTTAGTAACCAGGGGAGACAGCCCATCTAAAAATTAATTCACAGATATTGAAAATATCTATTATGACTGAATAGTTAGGACTTACAAACACTTCCAAACAAAATGCTGCTTCTTTATTAATTAAGATGTATCCAGCAGCTTCGAGAAGTTTTCATGGAAGTACTGATCATGAAAACCCCAAGGACCAAGATTCAGAGGTGAGAAAGTGAGCTCAGACTTTTTACATTAAAAAAATTAGCTTTTTACTAAGTTGGGGAAAAAAAAAAAAGAGGAGGAAGAAAGCACAGTTTTTATTGCTACTTGCAAAGGACCCACCTGCAGTTGCTCTTCACGTTTCTCCATAGTCTGCTGCATGTTCTCCAGTGTTCCTTCCAACTTCTGTAAATCCTCTTGCATTGTGCTGGGCAGTCCACCTTCAATCTGCAACTGTTTAGCTTGGGAAATCTGCTGTTGCACATCTTGCCTCTTTGCACGGAGTCTCCTTGTCCTTTGCTAAAAGGATTCATGCAACATGAATGATTAGACTTTTTAGCTCCTTTGGGAAACTGGCATAGTGAAACCACTTCCTGCTTTTGCAGGGGTATGCAATGAGAATAACAGACAAAGGAATAAACTATGGCAAGTATTTTTGAGAGTCTCATATACTGATCTAGTATATGCATTGGGTTCCAAAATGTGTATACAGTTTTTGTGGAGTACAAATGGGAGAGAAAGAGTGACAGTATGGCCATTTATCCAAAGCAATATTTTAGAAAGCAGAAGCCCCAACAGTTGAGCAACTGTGGCAGTAGCCACAGGTGCGTGTATTCCTCATGACTGCCTGGAAGCATCCAGGTCTGCTCTGCACTCTTTGAGGCACAGGCTGGAGCCTCAGATTGATCAAAGCAACATATCAGCCTTCATTAGAGAGCAGTAGGGGGACGGCCAAGTTGCATAACTCATTCTTTGATGCACTGTGCTTTGTAGCACTATCAGAAACTCCTAAGACTACCTCCCTTCTCCCTTCCTAACATTCCTGACCTATTGCCAGCCTTGCTAGGTAAGCTCACAGCTCCCTGCTCTATTCTACTCTGGGTACCTTCAGGTCTTTGTCAAAGTCTTTTTACCTTAACAGACTCCATATCAAAAGAAGAGTCTGAGAACTCAAGGAGAAATTAACTATTCATACTACCTCTCCTATGATGGATAAGAAATGTAGAGTATTGAAAGACCAAATACAAACCTTAACACATACAATAGCTTTTACAACCACCGAAGAGTTTAGATAAGACAGCAGTAAGACATAGTAGTGCCTAGTCAGACAATAAGACATATTTGACCTTACAGAAATAGATACTAATATAAAACACTTACATAATGCCCAAACACTGACAGTAAATTGTTCTCATTCTTATTAGCTTTGAGCAGGCCTCAAAGTTAATTTCCCATATTTGGCCTTAAAACCCATGATTTGTGCTGTATGCAACCCATATGATTTACTATTACTGTAGCCAACAGATGTTTTGATCTATTATCAGTGCATAAAAAGCCTCCTGTTATACTCCAATAGACTGGAGGCCAATCTACCACTGCAGTAGCTACCTAGAGGAGATGATGAGGCTAGAGGTACACCTCCCCTCCAGCATTTAGAGTTGGGGCCACATCAAAGTTGCTGAAGTCGAGAAATTTCCAAAACCAGGATCAGGCCAAATTTACCATGATTTGAATCTGACATGCAAACTTTAAAAAGGTAAAAAGAGAGAGAGACTACATATTTGCAGAGTACACTTACTGAAAATTTCAAGTAAATGAAGCCTGTTTTTCAGGTGTTCTGTGCCCAAAAATCCCATGCGAAATAAAAGGATATTCAATAAAAGTTGAAAAACAAGCCCATCTTTGGGCATTAACATTTAAAAAATACTGAGTACTTTTTTCATTATACAAAATCAATACTAGGCCATATGAGACGATTTCCTTTATAATTCTTTCATGTTTAAATATGAAGAGTCATGTTAATGGACATAACAAAATTTAGTAATTACATACATTCTATCTTAAAAAAAAAAAAAAGGAATACGGACAAGAGTAATTGCCCTACCTGATGATGAAGTAGTAGTTGCTGAGCTTGTAATAAACTTTCTGTATCCAGGATCTTTTCAGCCTCTGCTTGAGCTTCTTTAGAGTTGCTGATTAAGTCTTCAATTGCACTTTTAACTTCTTCTTTGTACTGGATGCAGTCTCCAACAGTGCCTAATGTCTTTTCAATCTACAATTATGGATAACTAGGTATTTCATGTTGAAAGGCATATCTATATTTTAAGGGCACATTTATATTTGGAATATTTTTTCAAAAAATATAATTAATTGTCTAAATTCAAACCATTTTTGTCTCTAGCATTCTTAACAGACATCTTTAACTTTACATTGAAAGAGTGACTGTAGACATAAAATGTGACCGAAGAGACCTTTGTCTTGTTTAGACATGCTCCCTATTACATTGCCATATAGTAAATAGCTGTCTGTGACAGTCACTTGTTGGTGATCACTTAGAAAATACACGCTGTCCTCACCCTTGGAAGCTTCTGAAAGCCCCAGATTCTGAAACACCTGCGCTACTCAACTCACAAAAAAATCTTGCTGCTTCTTGTATGTTCTAGAGCAAGGCCCTGGTGAATCACAAATATACTAAAATGTCCTGTTACCCTGGGTTTATGGACCACAATATGCATGTGGTGCAATATCCACTCTCAGTTTGCATAATTTTATAAAAATAAAGATGTATCTATTCAACAGATCAGAAAGTTCTTCCCTCTTTGCATGGTTCAGCTAACTACTTGTATCTGATTCTCAGTACAGGCTCTGTTCCTTAGACAGTTCCTGTGTTTTAAGGTTTTAATCGTAAAGTATTCTAGAACTAAGAAACTCCTTTCTGTTCTTCCTCCCTTCCTTTCTTTCTTTCCAGTCCATATTCACTTTAGACGGTCATTCAGATTCAAGGCATTCTCTTTCCTGTTATATAAATGTTTAGTCTTTATTCTCCAAAAAACATTGCTGAACTCTGGAAATATCCAGTATCAGTCCTTGTCTAAACAGTCTCATCCATCTGATTAACAAGCTGTAAATTTAGCTGTAAAGAGTATTCAGACTTTTAAGAATCAGCAGTCTCTTAACTATAGGATGAATTGCCATTTAGGTTATGCTTTTAGATTCAAAACAAGTTTAGATTTTAGCTCTTATTTTCTTTTTTTACCTTCATGAACCTGTGCTCCCCTTAGTTCTGACTTTTGGAGGAAATGAAAAGCAAAAGTACTTTAATACACAATAAAATAAAATAAAATATTATATTAAATTTTTTGCAGTCACTTGGAAATCAGAACATTGGTTCCCTCAACTTTCCAAACACAGTTTTCACACCACAGAAGTTCAGAGAAGTCTCAATAAATACATGGAACTTTTATACATTTGGAACACCTGCAAGGCCTCCACAAGAATCGACATTAGCAACGGAATTTGAAGCCTGAACTCTTTCTCTATCCTCAACTCTTTTTTTCAAATGGATCTGTTCTGCCTTCTAAGTGTAAGATGTTTTAAGTTTCTCTTGATCTTTCTTTTTACTGTGAAAACTGTGAAGGAGTAAGTTCCCCGAGATCCCACAGAACTCAAGGGTTCAGTGGATTCTAAGAGGTTTTGCTTAGCAGTTAGAAACTTCCCATGATTTCAGCAGTTACAGTATCTCATTATCATTCAGAACTCAGAGAACTGCAGCCTTTTCCTGCAAATTCAGTGCATGCTAGACATCCTTAATGATTTGCAACTACCTCACAGTAGTTCCTTTATTATTTCAGCATAAAAGATACATAAATGAAGATTAAAGTCAAATTCTATATCCACTAGCTAATGTACATCATGCTTTTGCCAATGTTCACTAAGAGCTGATTTTAGAAAACTATCTTTCACCTCTAAAAATACTGACATTTTGAATCCAGAAACATTCACTATGATCCTTTCCAATCCTGCAAATGGAAAAGATCCATTATAATAATGTCAGTATTTTTTGCCTACTACTGTCAAGGCTTTGCTACCCAGGAAGTACAAATGAGTTTTTTGTTGCTGAATGCTTGCAGTTTAATTAAAAAAACACAGCAGGGAACTTATGCTTGTGAAGCCATGATTGATGTCATTTCATGTGACACTGTAAATGAAGAGTTCTTGTGTCCCTCATACTGTACCTCAGCCAGCAAATCTAGGAGTCCCTTGAAGTCACTGGAAAGTTTACAAAGCTCAGCCTCTGTCTTTTTGGCTTCCATTTCAGGACATACTGTGGTCAAAACAGCAAGTCTAGATTTCAGCCAGCTGTGATTTTCTCCTTGCTTGTTAATATGCTTCCTGATTTCCTATGGAAGAATCAAAATGTATTTTCTTCAAATAAATAAAATATATTAATGAGTGACATTCATGGCATCACTTCAAAGATTAGTAGTGTAAACATACTACCTTTGTTCTTATCTTGAAACACTAGAACTGTAGTATTTTTCTATTTGCATACCCTATCTGATTCTGTTCCAGTCAATGGCTAGATTTTTGCATTTCCTCCACAGACTTTACTCCACTACTACTTATTAGACTGTTCTTTAATAAATAGTAGTGGAATACTTTTTCCTCACAGACTACCATTTTTACCTACAGATAGATAGATAGATGGTAGATACCATATATATATTTTCCACATATTGACCAAATTTCTTAGTTACCATTTAAATCTTAAATGCTGACTTACCCAAACATAAAATTTCATGTGATTGACATAAGGTTTTGTGTATTTTTTTTCCTATTTAAATAGCTCTTTTTTCCCTCTTTTCACTCCGTAGTTCATTTATATCTTTGTGCCAGTGCTGATGAGAAGTTGCCAGCAGTGAAACTGCATGAGTAAATCAAGACTTTTTGGAGCAGAAGGACCCATTAAGCTAAAGGTCCATCTGCTTTATCATTATGTTTCTCTGAACAGTTAGTTAGCCTCATAACCTGCTCATGACTTCTACACAAACCCCTACAGTATGTGGCATTCCTATTTTTGCTCCTAGTATGTGAAATAAAAGAAATAAAGAAAGGTCAAGCTAGGTCCCAAGTGACACAATAAATGATTACCTAAAACTAATTTAACCAAACAACTCAATCTCCAACCACTCTACCACTTCTGTTACCAGTCACCAATGCAAAAGTGAATGGTGGAGTATCTTTGCCTCCCCTGTTATACTATCATAGAAGAGAATTTTTATTATGGAAGATGTCCCTAAATGTAAGACAATAACTTGATCCTTCAAAAAACCCCACTCCATAAATTTTGGCTTTTCTTTGCACAGCACTTTTAACTGTGCACGCAGCAGGATGAGGGGCAAGCATTTATTCTATCTGCTTGTATATTTTGGATATTCTGAATATACAGGTAAAGGCACTTGCCATTCTCCAACTTATTAAAAGTAGGAACTTCTGCCACACTTTGCTGCATGTGGAACTTTCTCCTGGAAATGTTTTTAAGAATACCAGGAATCAGCAGAGCTACTATGGTCTCCACAGTAAAACAGTTGCACTACTTCAGAATACAGTTTTATTCAGAGTCCCAGTAACAATGATCGTAGCTTTATTAGAATATAAGCCAAGGGCTCACCCCCACGGATGCTTTACATTGCTTGTATTTGGCAGTATCATTGACACTTTCCTTTATCTTCTTTAGATCTCTTTCTGTTGATGAAATCCAATTTGCCAATTCAGAAAATCTGAAATAAAACATCACAGCATGCAAAGCAAGGAAAAAAGTTAGACAAAAATTGCCACCACCAAACGGTAACCTCTTAAATTTATGGCAAAAAATTGTAAAATCCACTCAAAACCCCACTATAATTTGTGCAATTACTACATAAAGTATAGTTTTCTACTTGAAGCTAACAACACAGTATCATTCTTTATGTGGTTCTGATCTATGATGACATTTAGGGGAGTCACCACACATAAGGCTCTACTGAGACCCAGTTAGCAATTGAGCTGACACCTGTTCTTATAGCCCTTCCAGGTGTCCGAGTGCTCTGTTAGCTTTACGTATGTACTGTCTATCTGGGATTTCAGCTCCTTCAGGATCCGTTGGCTGCTTTCCAATGTAGCCCTCACTGGATCAGAAACTGGCAGTTTTTGGCACAGTTCTTCAATCCGTTGTAGCCTTTTCTCACATAGCTGGTAAGCTCCCTTGTCACCGAAGAACAACTGATGGGAGAGAATGCAGAAAACTCAATAAAAATACAAACTGGCAGAAATCACAAAGCATATCTATATATTTGTTATAAACTGTACTAAGCTCAAATCAAAATTTTTGTTAAAGACCCCAAGGATTGATCTGATTTAGCTGTGCACAGAGTGTTTGATGGATTAAGAGTTGGTCAGACCTGTTTATTATTGACGTTGAAATGTATTTCTGTAAATGCCCACATGGTGGCATATAATTCATACCATGTGTTCCTTGATCATCCTTTCATTGCCTTCTCTTGATAACACCTTGTTCTGTCGAGCTAGTTCAGCTTTGCACTCCTCCACCGTGACCAGGAACTTGCTTTTCTGTACTTCAATCTTCAAGTGGATCAAATGATATGGGGCTTCTGTTTGAAGATCCTACACACCCACAGGGGCAATAAACAAGCACGGAGATAAAACACTACTCTCATTACCTCAGTGTGAAGTTACTACAAATAAGTTATCTAAAAACTGCTTATATAAAAATAAAGCATATATATGCATGAACAGATGGGGGTTTCTCAGTATTCATTTAAGTAAATAAAGCAACTCTGTTACCAATATCTCTTAGATATATCAGAAGGTCATAAGTTTTTGAGGACCAGAATATGTATGTATAAAGCACATTACAGAGAAATCTTGATTCTTGGGAAGATACAAGAAATATTTCCTGTATAAAATAATACAGCAAAAAAATAATAGTGAAACTATATTCACAACTGCTTCCAGAGGTTCCTGTTTCCATGCTAGTGAGAAATCACTCATCCATCACTCCAGCTTTGACCTGCAACATGCTGTAGCAGGCAAAAAACTCCATAGCTTATGAGCAAGGTTTGTCCAGTTGTTAGAGCCTTTGGCAGAAGACACAATTTAAACTGATAGCCTGATCTCTTACAAATTTGTTTTATTAAGGTTGGGAAAGTAACTGCAGTCATCCAACATCAGTGTTAAGTAAGAAAAGCTAGCACTTATCCTCAACAAATGTTCTTAACACAGGTATCATTACGGCTGTACGTAGGGGGAGAAATTAAGGTTTCATAATTAATTTCTCACACTTTTTGACTTTTGACCACTTAAAAGGTTTTTTTCAAGAGGATATTTGTAGGTGTAACTATCTAATGTTGTAAAATACTTTTTTTTTTCTTTTCAATTGTACAGGAAGCCAAATAATACAACTTTTTTTTTTTTTTTAATTTTAAATTTTTTCAACATATAGGTCCTGCAGAAACATTCCCAAGTTAAGACTTACAATTTCGAGAGACATCATTCAATGTCACTAACCTTCCACTGCCTATGGAGTTTTCTCACAGCTTCCTGCAGGTTGTGCTGCTCTTGTTCTGGGAGGATGTCAGTAAGTTCATCACACGCTTTCAGAAAGGCATTTAGGACTCTCTGATCCAACTGGTTAAAAAATTCCTGAAGTTGAGGAAGAAAGTGAGAAGGTGAGAAGATGAAGCTGGTTATTGATATGGTAGCCTGCCAACAAGAAGCTCCCTAGCACACTCTGTGAGTTTCAAGGTTACTTCTGCTACATTGAAGAACTGAAGTTTGAGCTAAGGAAAGAACTATTTCTAGCTATTCAAAGTCTAGCAAATTAATTTATTGCCAGCCAGTACACTGAGATGGTATTTTAACAAGAATACATTTTAAAGCTACATGAATAATTAATAATTATAATACAGACACACATATTAATCTGAAAAAAAAAAAAACCAACAGTGGTTGTGTGAGACTGGCAAAATGCAGTGTCCTCACTCCCAATGGTTCTACTGGCAAAAGTGACCCTAATTTCTAGGGGGTCTTCTCACTTCACCTTCTGGTTGCTTACGTTCATCAATAAGAGGGGTGATCTTTTTTCCTTTTTGTTTTTCAATCTTAATATTAGTTTGACCTGATCTGTATAACTTCTATACATGAAAGAAATCCACATTAATTTTAAAATTAATTAGGCTTTTCACTTGTATGTCATGCACCTAAAGATTTCCATGAGGAACATCAGAGAATGTACTCACGCTGTGTTTCCTGAGAAGTTCTTCAGGATTTCCTTTTTCTTTTAAGCAACAATTGGCAATCTGTATTACTTTCTCCAGTTCTGTTCTAGACTCCTCAAATTTCTTCATCAAACGGCTATTTGCTTCTATGTTTTTTCTCCAGTCACCAGCTTTCCTGACCATATTCTGAGTTACAAGCAAAGAACATGAGCTGACACTTCCTCACTGATTTTTATTTGGTCTTTTTTAACATGATCTTACAAAAAATGCATTTGTTTGGTGTCACTCTTTCAAATATATGCTGTTCACAAGTGCTTCTCCCTTTCATGCTCCCATTTTCCCAACTTCTAATACTTGTATTAAGGCTTGTGCTAATGTCATCCTTCATTCAAATAAAAATGGGTAGCTATCTAATATAGATGTCTCTGATACCTTGAGAATGCTTCTGCTTGGCTAGTGTTTCTTTCCTAAAGCCTGCTTTCAACTGTAAAACACATGGTATGGCTAAAACCGTGCCATTCCTCTTTTCCTAGTAGCAGACTACCTCCTCCTACGTGACTCTACATGAAGGCGGTTTGACCTATGGATCCAACCAGTTCCATGCTACAGGTCTTCTGACCTGGAGGAGGTTTGTACGATTATCACACTGGTAGGGCAGATAAGCAACCAGGTAGAAAGCCGCTTAAAAGACAGACAGCAAATTTTGTGGTTTAGTTGCTACTCTGAAATCCTCTTGTTTTGAAACCTTAGTCACAGCTTTTCATTATTCTGCTTTGTACTCTGTCCCAGTGCACCACATTATCCAGTGGTTACAATTCCATAAGCATGTAACAAAATTTACCAGGAGAAATGAACAGTTCACCAGTTCAACTGCAGCAAGGCAATTCCAACACTGCTTACTAACCATACACTTTACCATCCTCACTGATTACAAACCCCTTACAAATGTAAGGAAATGTAATGATTTTAGCTAGTGAGCTAGGCAAATCTGTAGTTCTCAACTTAAACACCTTGCTAAGCCTTTTTAAAGTTTCCTGATAAAAATTTGCGTGTAGTAGAACCATATATGAATGTATTCTTTACATGAGAAAATGCCAGTTTCCAGATCCATAAATATTTTAACTCTGCGTATGCCACATTTTGTATGGTTATGCCATGTTTTATAGGTCTATTTCCTAGCACAAAAAGAGGTAAATCACCATCCATCTTTATGGAAACAGAATAATTAATGTTCAACATGGTAAATTTATGAAGCTACAACTGTATCTGCTTCTGTTACTATAAGCTAAACTTAAACAATCATTTCTAAACTGTAAATCAAAACCCACTGATCTTTAAGTACAACCCACAAAATACAACATAAATTTTGAAATCCACCTCCCAGAGACACCTCTTTACTGATAGGTGATTTTCTGTAGCTTAAAATTCATTTTAGATAGCTCTATACTGAATAATAATGGCCTGAAAACAAACCTAATAGAACCCAACATCTGGAGATCTGACTCCAAGACAATGGTTAATCTCATGGGGGGCTAGACTGGGGCTGAATAGCCCCAAAAATATCAATATGGCTAGTAACAACACAGAGCTCTACAGGTAAGGGGGATTATAGCTCAAAGTACACATCTTTACATTAACAAATGCAAATACATATTTGCAACTTTCTACATTCACAATCCACAGCATTTTCTGAGGAAATACCAAGCCCAGCAATAGGAGCATTTGCAAAAGTTCCCATCATCTTCCATGCTTTATGTGCAAGGGGATGTCTGGGAGTATAGGAGCAAATAATTAGCCAAGATAACAAAGTCAGGAGAAAAAAACCAGTGCAGCCCTAACAGGTGGATTTCAGGTTCCTTGCTCCAAAGAAGCCTGAGATGTGTGAAAGTTCTCCTTAAACCCCGGATTCCTCTGAGGCATGCTCGCTTCTGAATTACTGCATGGAGAATATGACCGTCAGTCCCCTGACCACTTATTACCTAATACAGATAAATCCTTAATTAATAACTTGACACCAGAGAGGAGAGCTCTCTATGACAGTAGCTACAGACTAATGAAATGGAGATACATCAGGATGGATCAGCTGCATATGAACAAGCTTTCAAAAATATGCACCAAGGTATAACAGAATTACCTGAAAAGTAAGCTGAACTTGTGTAACTTTCTTCTGAAATGTTGACTGGTGGAAATGCTGTAATACTTCACTCGAAGACACACACTGCAGGATACTCTGACTATTTCTCTCAATCAGGGACAAATCTTTCTTGCAGTTTTCTTGATAAGCTACCAAATCCTGAAAGAAAAAAACATATATCCACCCTGGCCAGGAACAAAGGAGAGAAAAGTTTGGCAAAATAACAGGAAAATATTTTTTGACAATAAGAACAAAAGGGATGAGGTTGAAGCGCCATGACAAACAGTCTACACAAAATGTTATATGGAATAACACAGCCACGCAACTTTATCCTTGTATGCAGAGTCCTGTACCCAAATAGAGCTCTAGCTATCTATAAAAAAAGACACACACACGTACCCAAGTCTTTTGGGTAGTTTTAGAGAATGCAGGTCAATACATTATCCTGTGAGGTAATTTATGGGATGTCTATATTTATTGTATAATTGTAAGTAAGCAGCAGTGGAAACAATAGACATAAGAATGACAACTCTCAGTGGCAGGTTGAGATGTTAACCTTTCTTGCCTTTCAGCAAATTAACTTTTCATGTCAGCTATTGGAATTCAAATTTCATCACAAATGGCATTAAGTAATGAGAGTTACACTTAAAAAAAAAAAAAAAAAAGAGATAGAAGAAAAGAAAATATGCATGAAGTTGCACAGGCTGAAAAAAAGGTTTAAAAAAAAATTGTGGTGAGGAAACTGTTCTGCTATTGAAGGAACACTGTATTCCTCAGCACAAATCTTTGTTTACTCTCTGATCAGTAGAAAGCAGAACCCTCCATATAACTAAGGAGATTGGCACATAACTGCAGAAGAAACATGCCTTTTTATTGTGACATTCTAGGGCAGGTTAATGTTCAGAAGCAGAAGAAAGGAGAACTCTTATGAGCTGCTCCTTAACCTGCAGGTTGGACACATGACTCAGCTGGTGTTCATAAACAGAGGAGAATTTACTCAGGAGCATAAATGGACTGGCTTGATTCAAGCTCACCAGATCATTTTCTACTGAAATACAATCAAAGCTTGAAGTCACTGAAGAGAACGCCCTTCTTGTTGAATTATTGGGCCAATCTCCAGAGTTGTTATAGGCTTGAACTAATTTTTATACACACACACACACAAATACACACACACACACAAGAAGATATCTTTGTTCCGTTTTTTTTTTTTTTTTTTTTTTTTTCCCAAGGGCCCTTAAATGGCTTTTAAAAACTTTCCATTTCCCATAAAAAAATCCATGTATTTACATTACCTGTCAAATCTGACCCTAATGAAATATGTACATCAATTTTGAGGGACTATTTCTAGGCTAGATACCACTCACACACAAGGATAAACGCCAATTCCTATGCAGGATCCTCATATTTTCAAAACAACACCCACCAAAAGTAGTTTTTTTTTTTCTTTTTTTTTTTTTTTTTTTTTTTTTTTCCCAAGGGACTCTAAATGGCTTTGAAAGACTTTCCATTTCCCATAAAAAAATCCATGTATTTACATTACCTGTCAAATCTGACCCTAATGAAATATGTACATCAATTTTGAGGGACTATTTCTAGGCTAGATACCACTCACACACAAGGATAAACGCCAATTCCTATGCAGGATCCTCATATTTTCAGTTACTTTCTGAAGTGAGTTCTGACTAGCTCTGAATTCATCCAGAACGAAACATTTATTGTTCAGGTAGAAAATGTTCTACTACAATGCACTTCAAAGAAACCACTTCCAGACTTCTAAGAAACTTCCATAATTGTCCAAGAAAACCTAGGGAAGTTCCTGATCATGTTATTTCATCTGCTTAATAAAATATCCAATGTATTTCTGTTACATCAGAACACCATCTGATCAATACACCACGGGCACTAGGAGGGAACACAAGTTTCAATCTTTCTATGTTTATGCCTAGCTGACTTTAGGATAGGCTATGTTTGTTGCCTGAATATGAAGAATCATTTGCTCAGCTTACCGAGTTGCAGTCCAAATTCCTAGAAAGCTAACTGTAAATACTCAGAGGCAGCAGATCTTTGTAAGATGTTTTTGAAACTTACTTGGGCTTTTTGTTTAAGAACAGTTGTAGGTTGTGCTTCAGGATCCAGGATAGAAATTATTTCATTGACTTTTTCAAGAGATTCATAAAAATGTGTGATTTGTTTCTCCAGTTCTTCCAGTGGAGACAGCAGATGCTGGCATTCATACAGCAGGGCACAGGAATACTCCTTAACCTTTTGGCCATTTTAAAGAAAAATAATTATTAAAAAAGTTGTAAAATTCAATAAACAGCAGCTTCCTCTGCATTGTGGGTTTACGTAGTTGCTACCTGCCTATTTAAAGATAGATCAATCCAATATTACTTAAAGAAAGGAATGTTAAATTTAAGGATGGTAGTCCTAAAGTCTAAAAGAAGTAACATTTTCTCCACTCTGAATCTATCTATTGTTACTATAACTCTATATTTGCTCAAATGCATATATTTAAGCATTTATGTAGGGGAGCTTACTATTTACTAGTATAACAGTCAACAACATGTGTAGTAGAAAAAGTATTCTGCAACCTTGCTCAGCTGCTCTTTGATCCTTGTCAAAGTTCCAAGCACTTCATTCACTTCCTCTTGGGAAACTTCTTTCGTAACAAGTTGCGCTGTTCTAGTAACCATTTTGTACTGAGCTTCCATCGCAGGCAATTTCTGCTTAATATTCTGAAACAAATGTTTCAAAAAATATTTCAACGGCAGCATTTATGCATTCATGGGAGATACAAGTCTGTTCTCCAGAGATAAAAGATTTATATGCCAATTGTCAATTGTTTTAATTGCTGATTTTAAGGAATACTAGATCATATTTCAAATGCATGAAAACTGTGCCAAAGGGTATCAGTCAGCTCACCTGAATGTGATTTGAAACTACACAGAAAGAAATATCCAGTGGGACAGTGTTTTGGAAATGTGCTCTAGAAATGTCACTCATAGAATACAATTATTTATATTAGTTATAGCAGAAATTATACAAAAAAGCATCACTGATTAAAAAAAAAAATAATGGAAATGTATACTAAAATAATCTTGTGCTTTCAGATTTAAATAGTTACAAGTTTCTCTCTTATGAAGGAGAAAGAAAGGAATGGAAGAAAGACACTTACTTCTAAATCTTGTACAAACATTTTGACATCAAGGAAGGACACTTCTACAGGGACTGAAAATTTCCTATTGCTACCATCAATAAAAGCTGTTAAGTGGGCAACACCATCCAAGTATTCCTTCTTCATTTTGTCCAGTTCATCTGCTCGAGCATACTAAAAAAATGTAAAGTAAAAAGAAACAAACGAAAAAATAACCACCCCAAATGAGATATCTGGCAATTAAGTAATGACTTAAGAGAATTAGCATGTTTTCAGTGCAATTGTTTGCTGGAAAAATTGTATTAAAAAATACAAAATAATGGAAACTAAGATTTTAAATTAGTTAGACACTAGTCATCTGCATTAGTTTCAATAGTGCTGATACTAAACAGAACAACATTCATACGGGAGGTCAGCCTTTTTTAAGGTTTGGATCATTTGGAGAACACCAGACTCTCATTTGTTTCTAACCTAGAATCAAAATTTCAATTCATTTCTCATTACCTATAGTATCAATTTTGAAAATTCAGCAAAGAGAATAGAATACAAAAAGCCTAGAAAAGCTGAAGGATAAGGGACATTTCAATAAAAGAACTGCTGGATGGAGGAAGGGGAAACAGAGGTCTTAGAAAGCGGAAAGAGTTGTATGACAGAAATGGTGAAAGGCCAGTGAGAAAAACTATACAGCCAGCACATGCAAGAAGCTGCCTAAGTAGGGGAAGAGACATTTACATCCTGGGCATTACTGTTTCCACAGTGAATCAACCTAAGTATCATCAGCAAATAAAGCTTGAGAACATTCTAGTCAACAGTTTGTAAAAGTTACAATAAAAAAGGGGCGATCGCTATTTGCTTTTCCATTTAACTTGACTGCAGTGGAAATAATCATGCCAGTAAAGAAAATAGATCCAGCATCTTCAAATAGGCAACTGTTATTTGAAATCACTGGAAGGGGAAAATAACATTAGATGTGTATTGACTATAGCAAAGATATTTTCTAATGTGTTTATGAGGTGTGAAATACTTCTGTGTAATTTAGCTCAGGTCTTCTCTTTGCTTTTTAAAGAGCAAATACAGAAACAACAATTCTATTCCATTCAGTTGAATCTCTTCCATGAGATAAAGGGTAGTTTTTTCATTTACTATCAGTGCCTCCTTGTACGCAAGATAGAGATAATCTGACCGATTTGGGGAAAACATTTAGTTAATTAACTTGCATTGTACCTGCTTATGGTTGCAGTACAATAATTGAATGCAGCTTTCATTAAAGAGTAGTAAAAATATTCACTTTCACCATTTGCATTATTTAGTTTTACAGAGCTTTTACAATAACAATAGCTACCAAAAACCAATCATTTTCTTCGAAGAGCAGTAGAGGATATGCATAAATAACATTCACTGTATCAAGACAGGAGACCATAAAGAAAAACTGCAGCTTATACTAGCTGAAAATGTCCAAAAATAAAAATAAAAAGCTGTATAACCAAAAAGATAAACAAAGGAAAAGCCCCACTAAGATAAACTGCTGTCAGGGATTCATTTCTAATTTAAATAATTATGAACAGTTACGCACTTTAGTAAATTGTCCTGTGGTCCTACTAAGTGGGGCAAATCTGTCTGGCTTGCATGGCAATAACAAAGTAAACATTTAAAAGTAACAACAGCAAAAACACATACCTGCTTAACTTGCATAAACAACTCTCTCCATCTTCCATTTAGTAGCAGAAGCTGCTGTTTAAGGTCTCTGGAAATGGTCTCATCACACGTTTCAATAAGAAAATTACCAGCATCATTCATGGCTGTGTGCTGTTGGATCCAATGAGGTAAGTGCCGGAAGAAATCCTGAAGAAGAAAAGGAAAACACCTTTCCAAAACCTTTTCAGTTCGACTTTGTCTTAAATCATGAAACTAAAATTTAATCAGCAGCTAATGGCTTGATAAAATTCTTTGAACAATTATCCTCTGAAGCTCTTCATATCAGATATGCCATAATAGAATTTTAATGTCTGTGAACGTAACCTATGGAATTAAAAATTACCACCAGTTTACTTACAGCTCATTTTACTCCAGTGAGTAGCTTCAGTTAAACTAATGGAACTCCTCCTTAAGAGAATGCTCCATAATTGAAAACACTGGCTCATCTAATTTCTGTCTTGTCTTGAAACAGTATGGGCTGATAGTAACCTGGGCCACATACAGACTGTAGAGAGATTCTTCCATTACTGTGAACCATATGCAGCTTTCCAGGGTCTGGCATCCCAGAAGACCTGAGAAGACTGATTCTTTAACACTGCTTCTTTCTGTCTCAGAGTAGGTGAGTGGAGAGGGGAAAGGGATGGTTGTCACTGATTTTCTCCCCTGTTCCAGTGAGACAGCCTAAATAGCCCAGCCATAGGGCCAAATGCTTCTGTGCATCTTGTAGGCAGGTACACACACATAAATTGGTAGAGAAGACAAAGATCAGCTCCCTCCTTTCCTTTTTGCTCTTCAAAAGGATGGGCAATTGTTCCTAAGGCAGATATCTCCAGGCACTATGACTACAGCTATACCAGTAAACAAAACAGAACTCAATCACTGTCCCATGATTGTCCACATCTTCTCTGACATGGTTTTGGTTTGTCCCTGCTCCCCTGCTCCCAAACAATGCACAATTCAATGGATGGCACATGGCAAGGACTGTTCCCAACAGACTGAATCACGAGGCCACCTTCTTCCAGGGGAGAAAGACTAGCCACAAGGATGCAAGCTGAACCATGCCACTTGGTCCTCAGGACAAAGGAAGGGGGACTGACTCATTTTATTTATGACTGTCTACCCTATAATTCCTATATTATCTACCCTATAATTCCAAGACTGCTCATCTGACAGTGACAGTGCCATGCAATCCTTTGCTCAGGGGTAGATGTGGAAAAGTCCTGTCCAGCTGTACTGGCAGTCATACCAAGTTTCAGAGCTACAGTTCTGAAACTTTATAGCTTATGCTTGTCAGAACTCATCCACATGTAAAAACAGTTCTGATACAACCAAAATAAAATGTCAAATGGATGTATACTGCTCAAATTTGTTGAAGAGAGAATTGAACAACATACAGTGTTTTAAATTCCTAAAGCTGAGATCAGTAGAGTACAGGTGTTCTGTACTGATGTATCAGTGAATAACCTTAATCATCTCATTAAATGTGCAGTTTGAATCTTCTGCTCGCAGTGGAGCACAACCTGTGCTTTGTGCAAAGGCTACCTTCTGTGACCACATCCAAAAGAAATTAAGTCTACTGAATCTGGCACTGGTCAGTTCTCCAATGGTCAGGCTTACTAGAGGTCAAGAAGGAAAAAGCACATGGAGTAAACTACTCGTGTCCTTGCTCCCACACACTTATTCCCGCTAGCCATTACCTGCCTCAGACCCTGCTGGACAGTCTCCCCATTTCAGAAGCCAACCTAAAGCACGTGTAAAATATGGATAAGTTGGGAAGGTACTGTGAACCTCACCTCATTCTCAATTAAAACAATGCAGCTCTTTTTAAGGAAGTCGCCGCATGAGATCTAGAAGCCCTCTGATACCCTTTGGATACAGCTGTCGGAGAAAGGTGTGGGAGAGCGTGGCTACAACAGGGTTATGATGGGAAGTGGTTAAGAGGTACTGCAAGTAAATAAAGGAGTTGTAGAAGGAACAGTTTGTTCCTTAACACATTTACTGTTAAATTTTTTCTAGTACTTTGCGGCAGAAAAATCCAAGCACAAACTGATCTTTTTTGCAAGATCTTCTGTGCTACAGGTTCACAATAAGGCTTCTGAAAACACTAACCAATGAGAAAGCCAACAAGCCACTTTCTTTTGCAAAAAGAACAGTGGTACTTGCTGTTCTTGAAATCATACAGAGACAATAGAAAGAAGAAGAAACCATGACAACATGGGAAGCGGCTACTATGGTCTTTGATTAGGATAGAATATGGTGGGTTTCAGTAATGCAGGTAATTTTCCAATGAGCATCAATTAAATCTTTGTATCATATTACTGATATGTTTGTGGTTTTACAGAACAGATACTTGGAAATGTTTAAAAAGTTTTATGCCATGTTCCAAGCAATAGTTATCATCTTTCATCTGGGATTCCAGACTCTTGTGCTGATGGCTGTATGACTATTAATTGTACAAACCAATATAAGTATTGCTTTTGGTTTTAATAACCAAATATTAAAACTGCTAGATCAGAACTATTCTTGGAACTATATAACTAAACGTAACTGCTGTGGAGTGCTAGATTCAACATTAATAGTACAAGTAACATTTAAAATATGTATCTTAGTCTACAGGCGGATTATGTTACCTCTCAGTAATCTTTAACAGCTTTGAGCCAATATAATTTTAAGAAGAAATTAGCATTTTGGGAAGAATAATGCTTTCACATCTAAGGTTTTCAAGAAGGCTTTTTGAAACTCTTCATATATCAGAGCGGTAAGTACTTGTTGGATTTAGGTTAGAAATCAGAAGCAAGTATATACTGTATGGATATGTTCAGATTTCTGCTTTGAAAATCTTTAAAGGTAAAGTTGTAAAACTGATCACCGAAGTAAATATTTTAATTTTATTCATATATGTGGATATAAGAATATTTCATTTTAATCACTGCCAAGTTACTTAGGCAAAACATACACAAGGAGCTAAGATGAACCTGATCAGCTGAGGTCATCCTTCCTGCTCAGTAATAATAACTGTTGGTATTTATATTGTGCCACACTATTGAATCATTTTCACAGGTTTATTTTTATTTGAAAAGTGTATTCCATTCTTTTACATCAATTTAAACTAACAAACTTTTACCAAAAATTATACTGTTCTGTCATGTAACATGAAATGCTCATTCCTGACCTGATGTCAGTTTGACATATTACAACCTATTAAGACCATACTTTGGTGTTCAGAGCTGTGTAGCTGCTACGCTCGGATTGGGTGAAAATGTAGCACCTATTAAATGCACTATTATTCAGGTCAATCTGGATCATTACTGAAGTTTCACAAACACAAATCTTAGTGCTTCAGTACTCTAATATTAGAACAGAAAAAAAAAAAATACAGCAAAACTATCTTTATGACTGCAGGTCCCCAAAAAGAACTGTCTAAAAGATTTCTAAAATGCCAGGGAAATGGATAAATTACTTACCCATCAAACACAACAACACATACTAATAATGTTGTCTTGTGAAGGCAACTAATATTGAAATCTGTCATCTATATGGTAGAAAAATCAGTGGAAAAAATAATTTTCTTTAAGTGTCTTTATATGCAGCACACGACTATGCACTTTGGTGTTAAGAGCTGTATTTGCCTTTGAGTGAATCATGTAACATTCCTATCTCTGAGCAATACTGCTGCCCTATATTCATGTCAAAGATGCCTCTAACCATGTTATCACAGATGATGCCTTCCTTCACTGCATGTATATATGCATATGTCTGTATGTGCTATACATGCAAACATTGAAACACCTATGATGAATGTAGACAGTATGGCAGAAACTGAAAAAGTCTCTCCCTCTTGTATGGCATTTTGTAAAACAACTTAAGCAAATGCAAAAATATATCCCACGTTTCATAATTTACAAAATAGCCAGACACATATGCTGTTGGCGCATACCTTTTTAGAATGTTCAGGCTGATTCAGCATTTTTTCAGCATCTTCCAGCCAAGCTTGTAGACCTGCCACAGTGCTGCTGTATCTGTCCCAATTAGCAATTACTTCTTCCAACATACTTCTTACACTTCTCACCTCTACCGAGAGGTTCCTCCACTGTGCTGTTGTTTCATTCATGAATTTCATCACATTCTCAACTTCTTCCACTGATATACAGGAAAGACATTGATTATTTTGGTTCATTATTATTTCTGTAAAGCTTAATTTTATGTTATGCTTATCTATTCTCATCAGAGAATTATATTTTACTGCAACTTCTATTTCAGTAGGCTTTTATATACATATGCTCAGTTCACAGCCCAATTTTAATGCAAAATTATACTGAGAAATTAAACCTGAGAAATTAAAGACTAAGGAAAGTACATAAAATGAGTGCTATATTAAAGCAGTCACACTGCATATTCAGTGGGGTGTTAATTTCTAATCTGTAATAAAGGAAAACAAGAGAGAAAGTTTCCTTAAAAAAGCAGAAAATAATAGAGATGTATAATGTACAAACACATATTATGTCTGCATTGAAAAGTACTGAATGAAATTCTGATCTTCCTTCCACCAACTTTAAAACCTAACTGCTGCTAATTTTTGCTAATTTTTAGTATTTTCCTCATGGCAATAAAGGAACAAATGTGTCCTCATTCCAGAAGAAACAAACAGAGCGAAGAAAAAGGACCCACGCAAATCCTGAGACTTCATAAAACAAGCAGAATATAGATAATTTAATAAACTTTTTAGCTAAGGTGTCCTCTAATTTGCACTGCTTTTTCTGAATTCATATAAGTTAGTAGCCGCCCTTTAGAAAAAAATTTGTTATTGGATTTTTTTAATTGCATTGAATAAATCTATTAATTTTATTCTTTGTAAGAATACCTTGTAAAAATGTTTAATTTGTAAAAGTTTAGTGTCACCACCATCAACTTAAATTTCACAACAAAAAGAGATATCCATTTTCTCTCCACATCTGCTAACCACTTTAGTAGCTACAGCAATCCACCACTGACATTGTGTTATCTTCTCAGCAGAGATTAAAGAGATCTCATGTCTGTAACTATCTAGGTCAAATATTGCCCTCATGCATTCTCACTGAACTCAGCAGTGTCCAGGAATTACAGGAGGCAGCTGTTGAATCAGCCACACAGTTTTCTCATATATATCCATACTTCAACTATCATTTTGGTTCCTCTTATAGGTTTTCACAGTTACTGAAGAATCTTCAACAAATCAGGATACTTTTGCTACTACAACAATACTGGGGCCAGCTCTCTATTTGTCTTTTTCTAGTAAATGAAGCCAAGCCAGGGACCATTTCCAGGCACCAGAACATGATCTTCTCTACTCCTAATTTGGTCTCTGGCACTTTTGGCCCAAATCAACAACACTGAAACAATCCAGAAGTTAGCATAGACCATGGACTTCTCCTGTCAGGAAATCTGAACATGACCACTTTCTTCTGGAGATTAAGAAAACTTAGCAGGAGAGCAGGCTGCTCTGTACCAGCTGGCTTCATGCTAGAGAATATGTGAAATTGCTACCAGAGGCTGTGGCTTCTCTGGTGAACTGCAGCTGCTGTACAGCTCTGCTGCATGAAGAAACAAATATTAGGAGATCTTTTTAGAGGATACTATGTCTAAAGAGATTAAAATGGTGTCCCCATGACAAAAGAAACACAGGCACTTACCTGAGCCATTTGCTTTGGCATACATTTCAGCTGCTGTTTTCAAGATCTGGTAAGTAACTTCATATTGCTCAAAGAACTTACTATTTTCAATAACAGACTGAAAAGAAAAAAAATTACAACAGACAAAATAAAGACAGATATTAAGAATGAGGATAATTTCCATGAAATTACATCAGGACAGTGATGATAACTTTTAACTTTATTATTTCTCCATTCATTTTTTTCATCATTATAAAATAATATTTAAATTATCATCATTATAAAATACTATACAAATTTCACCTTTTCAAATTAATGGTACAGCAGAGTCTCCCTTTACAAACGCAGTTTATTTACTTTGCGTATGGAAAGATTATTTAATATGTTCTTAGTTAGTCTGCTAGTTGCTGACTCGACGAAACTCACTAGCATATGATACTTTGAATGTGCAGAAACTTAGCAATTAACTTAAAAGTTATTTAATGGAATTTTTTTTACACTGAAATCTAAGTTGATTCATTTTAGTAGAAGAGAAAATTTCATCCATATAGGTCACCACAAAAATCAAATCCAGTTAAACTTTAAAAATTGTTCCTGTATTAAGCCTTTGCCAAAAGTCAGGTTTCACTGTAAGAGATGAAAGTCATTTGACTTATCCTTCAGTTTTCCTTTACCTTCTTTATAATTAGTAAAAATAAGATTAAGGAAACACTGCACAAAGAGATGCTGCTTTTCCTAAGTGTGACACAGCGCTTTGCCTTTGTGAGCGATGTTTTAGCTGTGTAAAGTGTTATAGAGCAATGAATAATTTATCTGGAAATATTTTGGTCACAAAGTTATGGCTCTTTATCATTTATGTCTCTTTATCCCTTATGGCAAATGACACTGACTTTTTTTTAAATGTCATTCAGAAATGTTACTTTCTTTAAGTGCAATATATAATTATATCTCTATATTATGCAAGCACATTATATCTTGCATTACCACTGTTAAAAAAGGGAGATAAACTTGCTTTTTTACAGGGCTTTTATATTGCCTTTCCTAATGTACTTATCTAGAGTTTTGGAATGGTTTTATAACTTATAGTACCTCCCATGCCTCCTCAGTTACAGATCTACAAAATTAAGGCAAGTACATGTCACATATGTCTACCCAAGCTTTGGAATGTCAGAATAGACAAAATTCTATGTGTACTAGTGTGATTTTGGTAAAACCAGGTTTCAAATGAGGTCAAAGTTCAATGTACTTTAAAGAGGAGAATTTGATTTCATGTATTCATCAACCCACATTATATAAACATGAAAAACAGTTTTAAAAATTAATCTGCCTGCCAGTATATATCTAAAAATCTTCTATTTTAAAACCTTTTACAGTCGCTATGTCAAATCACCACAGTTATCTAGTACGTAATTTAGAAATGTGTTTATAACCAAGGAAACTAGAAGTCAAGGACAATCAGAATTTTTCTCTGCTCTACTGTTAAAATAAAATCTGGCATGTATAAAGAACTACATGCTCTACCATGAATTATGTGATAAACTCCTGACCTTCACTTTTGCCAAACCCATACACACAGACATTTTGCTCCAAACCAAAAACTGCAAGACTTCATATCAGAAAGTAAAAGACTGTATCAAACTACTTATATAATACTGATCTCAAGAGCAATTGGAAATATTTTCAAAAATTAAATATAGACATTTTACTGATTGTCTCCCATCTGATAAGATCCCTTAGAGAAAATATGTAGCTTTTCCCAAATCCGTATAGCATACGGTGCTAAAAAAGTACTAATACAGCAATGCCAAAACACAGTTCTGTGGGTTAAAATCCATGGATAACTGTACCCAGTATCGTATCCCCATTACAGATGAGACTTTGGTACAGTATATTCTTCAGGTTGATGGTGTACAATTCATGTTCACCTTTACTTCTGATATATGACAGACAGGTGAAAAGAAGATGGGATAAAGTAACAACCACTGCTTTTATTTTTCAGCTACAGTACATAAACATTTTCCATGCATATGTTCTATCCAGATCTTAACTATGCATGTTCCTAGAATGCTGACATTGCTCAGTCTGCTTTGGCAGACAAACAAACTTACATTTTTGTCTCCTACTAATATAGTCACTGACTATAAGGTAGTGACTACAGCTTTCCTACGTAAGACTCCTAATTTACTGGAAGAGTAACACTTGGCTCTTGGTCCTAGGAAATTGCTCCCAGGTAAGCCAAAGCAAATAAAGTCTCTTTCTATCACTGGACACCTGGAAGGAGGCAGAAATCAAGGTCATCAGGAATTAAACTGAGCTCTATTTATCTTCTTGTCCCAATATCTTCATTTTGATGTGATGCGGTTTCATAAACAATGCAAGGAGGAATTTTCTTTCCCCTAGCGACCGTCTCAGCGTTAGTGGTCTGAAGCACAAGAATAATTGAGGCAATCGCAAATAACATACAAATTCACCACTTAATGTTCATTTTAAAGCAAAAAATAAGAAAGTGATACAAAATAATAATCCAAAAGTCAAGCTATCCACTTCCTCATTATTTCCCTTGCCAACTTTTAGTAGTTTTTGCAATAGCCTTACAGAGTATACAAATGGACTATAACTCCTAGCTATTGCACATCACTCTAGCAAACTATGTTTTAAATAACATATAACAATAAACAAAAGATGTTTTAAATAACCATCTGAATTTTGCAAAGCTTGTTTAAAACAAGGCTTAACTCCTGAACTTTTATGTGTCTCTAACTGCTAAAGTTTAAACATAGAAAGGGAAAAGTGTGAACAGGTCTTCAGTTGTCACTTCGTAGAGGAACTTCATTGGGTTTGAAGTTTTCTTCCAAAGCAATAAAAACTATCAGGCTGTAGGGACATCAGTAACTTTCTCTACACAGTGTCCTGGCTCTGAATGTTTCTATAACTGTATGAATTCTTTCCAAAGTGAATTTTCCTGTGGAATTTTCCTCATATGGATTTAATAGAAGGGGGGGGAAAAGTATTTAGCCCAGCCCTGCTTTTGAAAGAATCCCTCACGCTCTAATGTAGAAGTGCACCTGTGGTACTGTTCTACTAGCCACTTGGCACTGCAAGTGTGGATTTAACAAGATACAGCAGCATAAGACTGAAAGGGAACATTTCAATGAGCATTTGTAAGTCAATAGCCTCTTTTTCTTAACATGATATATGGATGATGTAGAGCTGGAGCAATCTCTTCCCAGAATAGAAATAATGAGTTCAATATACTAACACTGAGCAGGAGAAGAAAAAACATTCTTTAAAACAATAAAATGACTCCCCTATCAGTATAGTATATTGAACAAGTACACAGAGGTGGCATAACTTTTTTTTTTTTGTTTCATTTGGAGGACTCAAAAAAAAAAGTACTGTGGGGTACTGCATGCCAAAAATGTCTTCTATCTCTACACTTAATCTGTGTATAGTCACTATAAAGTGCATTTATGCAGTTGTAAAAGAAGATGAAATTAAGTTCTTTGGTATTGATATTTAAGGTCAGTAAAAATCTAGGATTTGGAGCCTCCAGATATGCCTGGTAAGTTGATGGTCAGACAGTTAGCAGCTGGGACACTATTTCTGTTTTTGAAGAGATTGTGCAAAGAGAATCATTTTTATTTTTAGCCTTTTGACTAAAGTTCCTCTATGGGGAAGACACATTCACCTCTGAAAAGATATTCCATAAGAATGCAGTCATAAAGTTGATGACTGGAAGTCTCATTTCTGTTTCTGTTCTTTTATTCATTTGCAGCAATCTTAAATAAGAATATTTCAAAAATAATTATAAAAAGAAGATGACAATCCTAACTTACTTACAATATAATTTTGAAGAAGTAGTTCCACCGACTCTCGCCTTCCGTATTTGATAATCCATGATTTTAACTTTGATTCTGCAAGGACTATGAGTGACAGTAGACGGTACTTCAGTTCCAGAAACTCCATCTTCAACAGATGGAGCTCAGATGAAGAGACAACAAAATTAAACCTATAAAATGAATCACACTGTAGTAAAATACAGCAATATTCATTTTTGCAGGAAAGACTGAAAGCTTTAGTTACAGTTCAGATATTTTTCTAATCTTTCACCTAATTCAGAGTCTACAAACATTTAATTATGCTTGATGATCATTCTGATGACTGCTTTTGAATAGCAAATTAATTACAGTTCTGTTTATTCACAGAAATCATCAGTTTACATCTGTTACTAAGTTTTGCAAAGTCATTTTTCTTTTCTTTTTTCACATGCATCCTGGCTGTTGTTACATAACATTTCTTCCAGGGACAAGTAATAACAGGATCAATGTAAAAAAGTATTCCCTTCCAAAACCATAACTTATTTTGATTCTCATCAATCTTTAATGCATCAGGCTTTTTGGTATATTTTAATGGATATTCTAGAAGGTTTTTCTTTCCAATTTTGTCATGCTTGCCACTGAGAAACATAACTAGACAGTGATTTCTACATGAACAGATTAAATAGCAAACAGGTTCCCTTTCATTCACGGAGGGTTTTTATTTCAGATTGAAAGCCTTACCTCTCTGCCATATCCTCTAACTGGTCAGGTGGAATAGGCACTCCGTTAACAGATCTGGCCCCGTGGATCTCATGGAATGCCTTTTTGTGACCATCTATGTTTTTCAGCAGATCCTGATTTGATTTTAAGAAAGAGAGAGAGATTGAGAGAATGGCGGG